TGCTGTTTTAGTAAATGAACATTGCAGTAAAAAGAACATATCCGTGTCGCAATGGATCCCGCGCAGGCTTCATCTGTCCAGTAAAGAGATATGTCAGTGCGCACGCCGGTGCGATTATTCAGGCCTTCAGGCCTAGTCTCACCCTGTGGCACAAGCCCCAGGAATCAGGTTGACGTACAACTTACAAAAGTAGCTAGCTGCATCATCCAGCGCCTCTGTTTCATATCCCTCCGGATCTAATAATAAACTCTCGTGATTCTGGTTTATTATTGATTGAGGCGTTTCCGCTTGTGCTTGCGTCCGATTAGCGTCCATGATTCCCTCAAACCCCTCAAGGCCTCACCCTCTCTTGGCACCCATTCTCACCCTCATCTCCTACCTCTATTCTTTCCTCCCTCTCCTCTACTCTCCCTATGACCTCTTCTTCGTCCTGTCTCTGCCTTTCCCTTCTTGAAAGCATCGGATCCCCTCAAGAATTTAACCATTGCCATGATACCTTTCTCCGTACCCGTGATTTCGCAGAGTATGAGGTGTTGGAGTACGCTTAGGAATGTGAATGACAAAGTCTAATGAGGTTTGGAATATCATGTGTGTGCTCGCATCCTAGTTGAACGTAGTGTTGGCGCTGGGTTCAGGTACTACGAGTCCCGTTTAGGACAAGGCTTGGCGATGTCACTGCTAGCCTCTCAAGTTAACTCGAACGTTTAGAATTAAGCAACTCTATCATGGATGCTTAGCTAGTGATCGATGACTTCACGCAGCGTTTAGAACGTTCTAAATTTTAATCGGTGTGCTTGGAGGCCTGTGTCGAGAGTTTTCGAATCACGTCAGATGAAGTTCATGGTGACTATGGCCAATACCCAATGTTCTTCAATTCATAGCAACGATGTACATTCGACAGCATGACAGGACAGAAATCTGTTGCAGGTTCGAAACCCATTCAATAATAATCTTTTTACCACACCCTGAACGTATCATTCACAAACTCAGCGTCTGAAGTGGGTCTACGCGCTCTTGACTCCAAATGCCAGCCTTAGCTTGATCACGCACGGACGTGCCATCCTGGGAATCTCAAGCTGCAGCAGTGACTAGTAAAGATTTACACGCTCGAGGCCATCGTCACAGACATCCGTCGTTCCTCATTTCTCGCTATCTCACTTTACTGTCTTCTGTCTGTGGCAACTACGCTGAACTTTCGGGACGCTCACGAATATCAGTATGGGATGTGTTGAGCCCATTAGAAGATCTAGGTGTGAACCTGGAAGGATTAGACGAGTATCGTATTTCTGAAGGGAAGGGTCTGGGGAGATACTATGCGAGCAACAGTGCCAGGAGACTCAATAATCTCTTGAAATTCAGAGGTATCGATGACTTATTCGATCGTTCAATACCCTCCACTCCCAGATGTGACATATCGTGCTCACGAAGCGTATCGTCAACGCCAACAACTGTGAAGCTCAAAAAACCACCTTCATCTATCCCGCAGCACATAACCTCCAACACCGTCTCCGACTACGTGACACAGGTCAACTACTCGGAGTTAGTCCTAGCTGCTACGGTGGAATCCTCCAGATACGCTATATGCTAACATCGTACTCTGCCCACCCCGCGTCGCAGTCATCGGCCCTTCCTACCCTGTCTTACAGTCGACGCTGGGACGGCATACACGAAGGAAGGGGCGAAAGGGTCCCACAAGAACCTATGTTTTCCTCTGCGCCATCCCGCACAGACAAGCTTGTTTTTCTCCCAGATCCCGCACGTCAGGTCTTGCCTGTAAGTCATCATTTTGCACATTCATTTGAGGTCTCACGACAGCATCGCTATAGCCCTCAGTGCTCGCACGCATCTCGCATCTCGCACATCCACCCGTATTACAGCGGGGCAACCAGAAACTATACTATGGCACCGGTGTCAACACCCCTTGGAAGTCGTCTGCATCAGGCGTTCATAGCACGCAGAGGGAGAGGCGTACCTGCGTCTGGAGTGACTTTCCATGCGGAACCGTAAAGGGTAAGATAGTGGTGTGGAGTTTCTTGTATGTATGTATACAAGCCGATATCCTGTTTTGTGAAATGCTCAAAAGATTGAATGCTATTAATTTGCCCACATGGAACGATGAGAAGAGCATGTCCGAGTCCGTCTGCCATTTCGGTAAGCCCGGCTCGTACATGTGCAACATATTGTTAGACTGCAGACGATCCGAACAATCCGCGACCCGCGTCGTTGGCCGAAGGATCCGATGTCGGCTAGCGAGTTGTACTAGCCAATATGCGTTGTATTTACTAGTGTATCACTACCAGCAGTCCAGTATCTCAGCGTTGTCTTGAGACCGAGAGCAGTCTCTCCCTCGCTGGCCAACATGTTTGTGATGACCATGTCATTTTAAACTACAGTGGATACATCAGATCCTAAAAATATACACGGCAAATCGGACCGTCACCGGATTTAAAAAAGATCTACCCTCAGAATCTTTTGGCCCTCAGATATGTAATAGTAGTCTAGAGTAAGTTAAAAGCGAGTAAAAGAGCGTACGTAACAATAAAGATCGACTGAGAGTGAAGACTAAGACGGAAGTAAGGCTTCGGAGTATCTTTCCCTAGAATCCAAACAAGAGCAATGGCAAAGCAGGAACTTGCCACAATAAACGGATTGTGGCGGAAGGCCGTCAAAACGGCTGCGTGAACGATGGTCAAGAGCACCCGAGTCTTAAGAAGAGAATCCAGAAGGACCGGTATGGTCGGGACTCCAGCCTCCTTGTCCTCGTCGTAGTCGCGCACGTCCGACATAATCTTTGGAAAACCTTGAGTCGCGGGTAAATTTAGAATAAGTTTTGTCTTACACAATGACCAGTGCGATTAACAATCGACCAAAGGACAGTCTCGGCGATCGTCCATGGAAGTGCGTTATGCGTCGATGTCAACGAGGACTGCAGCGCCGAGTGGACGACGAAGAACACCCCACAGCTGTCTTCAAGTCAGAAATGACAAACCGTCAGGATGAAACAGCACATACCTTCGAATGGTACCGCTGAAGAAAGCCTTCATGCCAGGGACCCGTTTGATTACGAACGGTTTATGATCCTTGTTCACTTCTCGACTATAATTTGCCCCTATGAATCTCTTCAATACTGCGCCGATCCGCGAAACATCAAGCGGGGTCGTCCACAGAAAGGCTGGGGCGGTAAAAGCTGCGGTGAAGAACGTCGCTTGCGGCGGACTGAGACTTAAAGCTGCCACGAGCAGCGACGCATTCAACGCCAAAAAGATGCGCGCAAGGGGGGTAAAGCGCTTTATGACAGCCGCGCCTCGAGTACCGGTAACAACTTCTTGATCCTTCAGGTGGTCAGCCGCGATGACAAGGACATCAGATGTCGCGCATATGGCGATCTTGTGTGTGGCGCAATCAGAAAGGTTGTGAAATACACAAACGAAGGACTTACCGGCCTCCAATCGAGGTTTCCGACCATCTCGTAGGATAGGAGGGATGAGTACACAGCGCTGCTGATCGCCACGATGATGGGCTGCAGGATCACAGAGCTAATGAAGGATGAAGCTGTGGTGGTAGCCATTCTCTTTGAATGTAAGTTCTCTGAGTGGGCGAGCTCGATGAAAGGGATGCACGATGGAGCTGAGGTCCTGCAGCGTAGTAGGCGGCCTTTTATCATTTCCAAGAGCTTCCGAGTAGGCTCCAATAAGTTAAAACATACCTCCTTTACAGCAGACGGAGATCAAGACCTCCAGCACCGCTCGGCAACGATCGATCACCTAACCGTTGCGCCAGTCTGCTAGCGAGTACCAGTTTCGGTTGAGCTTTCCATGATATCTCTCTGCGTCAGGCTGATGCCATTTGACAGACTGGCCCCCAGTCTTGCGCAAGCGCGACTCGTCTGCCTCTTGCTACCTCCACCTCGCATCATAAAGCAATGAAAGGACCTCGAAAACACCGTCAATTTCTCAAGATGATGTGGTCACGGTGATTTTTCCTGTACGGAGTAAGCTGTGATTATCCTCGGATCCGAAGAGTTACATCCCGTACATTCATAAAAAGTTTCGGCTACTCATGTTTATGCTCGGCTTTCACAGCTGTAGCTTCATCGACATACCGGAATCTCTGTAGCTGCTTTTGTTTATTATTGAAAAATCCTGAAACTTACATAAACCATGACAGAGCACTAGTACATTTCGACGATGCCCTGTTCAACCGACTCTGTGGACCGTGGCATGTGATTAGTTTTCTCGGCAGCTTGTTCGTGCTCGAAACGAGTAAGCACCATATGAACTCATATGGGTAAAGCTTTTTCTGTTATTATTAATATTGTTGAATGTCAGAGGATGTGTATGATACTTATTGTGTGAAGGCCAGGCGTTAGTACTAAGTAGTAAATACCGTAGTAGTAGTAGACTAGTACTACCTTGGTTTGGTATAACTCATACGCAAACAATCACGTCATCACAAAAGTTGGTATTCAGGGTGTGACACGGGTAGCTCGGGCACCACCTGCGGGTAAATCGGGGGTCGGGTGGTACTACGGGTACGAGGACCTGCAAAACTTGGATACACACGTCTACTATCTTCTGTCTGTAGCAACTATGTCGAACATTCAGGACGCTCACGATGGGGTGTGTTGAGCTCGTTAGAAGGACTAGGTGTGAACCCGGAAGAATCAGACGAGCATTGAAGGGAAGGACCTGGTGAGTTATGCAAGTAGCAGTGCCAGGAGACTCGACGGTCTATTACGAAAATTTAGAGGTATCTTTCACAATTTCCCTGTTCTCCGCTTGTTAAACAGTCAACGATTACAAGTTATCTACAGGATGGCCACGAAGACGACGCGATATCGTGTGCCATTATATGACAGGCCGCCTCGAGTCTACTTCGAATTCATCATTGCTCGGATGTATCCTTCTCTCGCTGTGTTCACGCATTCAAACGAGCAGTGAAATGGCTCAGGATGACTTCAGCAGGGTCAGCCGCAGGTTCTTGAATACATACTAAGTCACTTACATCGCCAAGCCGGTGGTGAACTCTAGCTTCACTTCAATCTTGTCTCCGTTTAAGTCTTTGGCATGATCAATGCGCATGACGGCGAGTATGGCAGCAACTGCAGTCCACATACTGCTCTCTGAAAACCAACGACCTGCCAAGGGCATTTGTCATTCATAACACTGCCAGATCAATCATATATAAGCCTACCAGGACAAATACGCCTGCAAGGGTCGGTAAATGATTGAAAATGGTAGCAAGTTGAAATATTCACCTGCCATGACCAAAGGCAAAATGGTTGACGAAAGTGTCCTTGAGTTTCCCGTCAACTGCTAGATGGCGACTAGGATCGAAGCGTGATGCATCAGGGAAAATGTCTTCATCCCGAGACAGTGCCCTGAGTCATGCTCAGCTCAAGCCATTACATGCACTCCACAGTGACATACCACTGATTAACCATTACTATCGCACCTGATCAAACTAGAGATGAGTCAATGACAGCCTCACTCATACGGCTTCGAACCTTTGGGTATAAAGTGCCCGCCATAGACATCGTCATTTGATGTCGCGTGTGGAACTCCTGTGCAAGAGGTCAGCCATGCAAACACAAAGTTATATTATTGCCGACCAACCAAGGGGGCCGATAGGATACCATCTCAGGACCTCGCGTAGAACGGCATCGAGGTAGGGTAGTGACGCCCTGTCATCAAGGCACGGCATCTTATCATGCCCCACAGCTTGATCAATTTCAGCACGAGCCCGTGCTTGGACGTCAGGATAAAGCACCATCGCCAAACAAAATGTCTGCAATGCGGCTGCAGTCTGCGGGACATCGAAAGTGAGAATCAGGACTGCATAAGCTGTCTAAGTAGCGACTCACGGTTTCTATACCACCTTAGACGCCGTATTCCCGTCAATAGATGAATTCTGTTCTGGTAAAAAAAATCTTACCTATGGATCCCATCAACGCAACAGACTTCATCGTGTCTTCGTCGGCGTCATCGTGAGCTTGGCTGAGAAAGTCAGCGACTAACGAGTGTGAAGCAGTACCATTTGCCTTCACGCAAACAGATCAGGCGAAATTTCCATCCCCAACTCTGAAAACGTACCATCTGTGCCTTCACTTCGTTAAAGGGCTCGTTCAAAAGTTGTTGACATAATTCTCTACAGCGTCCCATCTGGGAAAACGCTCCACCGAAGCACCAAAACGGTAACTTTGCAACTGCAACCTCATGCTGAGCGTTCAAAATTATGTCATCGATGAAGGAACTCACGGAAAGGAAAGGTTGTGAACATGGCAACCTTCTCGGGAGAAAGAATCTGTGTTCCAATATCATTGATTTCTTGCACGCGGGTAAGAAATTCATGTCCACAAGCAAGGTGTCCATATGTCACGGTCATGATTAAGGATGCCGTGTATCTGTCACAAGGATTGATCGTCAACACTGGATTATACGTCACAACAACACAACTGGATTAGGTACGAACGCTTGAATGCGTTGTTTCAGTGAGTCACTAGTGACACCTAAAAGATTGATGACTAGTTCATTTGCGTGGCGAGAGTACAGCTCGTGGTATGAGAGCGAGACTTCGGCCCTGAGGACTTGATGGAAGATCTTGCGATGTTGTCGTAAAGTCTCCCCATAAGGAAGAAATGCGGTATTGAAACCCAGTCCAGATCTGCATCACCAGTTGATGAAGAAGAAATTAAATGCAAACCGGGAATGCATACAGTTCGTTGGTGGGAGTAGCAGGGCGAGAAGAGTAATTTGCTGAACGCTTGTCCAGCAACTCCCGCGCTATGGTTTCAGAGTTTATGACGATCAAGTCAATCCCAAGTACGCGGGAGTGAATGATTTTTCCTATGATAAGGTATGAAATTGAATCTAAGAGCTTAGCGAAGAGGCCATCAATTTGCTACCCACCGTATGTCTTTCCCCATGCAGTATATGTGAGCCAAGGTCGTTTGGTATCCAATTGCAGCACGTTACCCAGAAATGGTAACGGACGAGGGCCAGGTGGCAGAGGTAAAGGATAAACACGTCTGCGAGTCAGACTCGAAACGACAGCCAGGGCAACAATGCACGATATCCCTAAAGCGAGATTATAAGTGAAGAGCATCGGAAAGATAAGTTCAAGGCATGTTAGTTCGCCTTATAAAGGGGATCTTTGACACCTGAAAATGGTAACTTAGAGGTCAACGACTATATCTTGCATGAAATAGGGATCTTCTGAAACAAGGATGCTAGGCGATATTTGTCGACGAGCAAGGCCAAGGTGCTTGTCCATTCGAACTAGGAATCTGTGAGGGCTGTATTCCGATCCAAAATTGTAGCAACTTAGAGTTTCAATGACTCACTTGTGAGACCGGCCTTACCTGAATTGCAGGTAGGGATACCGCTAACCTGGAGCTTCTGCTCAACATCTGATACGAGTCGGTGGCTCTCATAGTGGGAAGACAACCATTTTTCTTCGTTGTCTGCTAAGGAATCGTCAATCTGCTCGTCCTAAGCCACGAACCTTGGTAAAGAAGCTATAATTTTATAAGCTCAATGGACGAGAAATTCGACTACCTCTTCAAATTTGGGCAGGGCTGACCATGTCTGAGTCAGTGTGAAACATCTGATACGCCACAGTATCACACGATTGCAATGGCAATGTCGTAAATCCTTGAAGATACCAATAGCAAGCTGAACACGCCCGGGAGCTTCTTCGCACCTGGAAATTGACGGTCCCAACTCCGCTCGACCTCGGCAGCTTATAGGGTGGCTGAATCGAGTACAGAACCACGGTTCGAACCCGTTATGCTATAGATGTATCAGTAGATTGAAATAGCATCTGACACTAGTAGGATGGCCCATCTGCAGCCGTCCAGAAGTTCCGGAGCCGTGACGTCCGTATTTAGCACTCATCCATCCATGTTTATATTTAGCGGCACTCGAGAAATTCGAAAAAAGAAGACTTCGACGCCAGCAGGACTCGAACCTGCGCCCTCAAAGAGGAACAGATTTCTAATCTGTCGCCGTAACCACTTGGCTATAGCGCCTTATTAGATCGGAGCTCAAAAGTCTAAATCATTTAGTCATAACACAATACTTATACCGGAGCACTTCGAGTTCATGTATGATTCACGAATTTCACGTCATTAACGTCGGAACCTAGCTACTAGGCGAAAACAACGCATACCACGATATTTATTACATCACTTACTGCGCACCGCGCACACGCGTACGAGTCACCACACAGATCCTCGAGCACCCTCTTCTCATACCATTCGATCTATGATGAATGCCCTAGTGTCTTCTCCGCATGTGTCTACGAACGACAAACCTCAATCACGCCAGCAGAGTCCTGCAGCTGGACTTAGTGGAACTGCTTCACGCTTCTTCGTCTCAATACGCAAGTCCATCAGTCATACCATTTTAGCTTCTCCGAGGAAACGACATGCAGACAACCTAGTAAGCGAGCATCCTTATTTGCCCCAGCCGACACTCATTATTGTACTGCGCAGCATGGCATGTATTCCACCTCAGAAGAACGAAACCCTCATGTTCATCCACGAATGCACGCGAGATACAGAGACTCCGCAGTCTCCCGTCCTACCATTGAACAAATTGCAATGGGCCTACATGTATCCTGTACACCTCATCTACGAAATCCGTGTCATCACCGGCATTCTGCACCTTCATCACCCTCTCATATGAGGTACCCCCGCGACTCATCCGCACCGCATCGTCCCACATACAGCCTTCCTCCACCCCCTTCTCGCTCTTCCCTTAAGAAAACAAGCACTAGCACTACCTTAAATTGTCACCCTCCGCCCTCAACTGCGTTAATCCGCCCATCTCCCTCCACATCTACGATCAACTCGGCAGGCCCAGCAACACCTGATGGCCTGCGGTCCCTGCGGTCCATAAGGCACCGTATGTCAAAATTGATACTCGGGTACCGATCTGCACCCTTGCCGGCGCGTGTGACATCAACAGCGTCATCAGGGACCGGGACTCGCCCGACAACCCCAAGAAAATCAGTGCGATTTTCAACCAGCGTGCTTGCGTTGGACGATGAAAATGAAGTCAAGCACTCATAATTATTTATTCATCTCGACACAGACATTACTTAACTGCGCGAAAGTCTGGCCAGCTACCTATTCCATATCATTAACTCGCACTTTGTTACCCAGCGTACCAAGGGATGTAGATGGTCCACATCATTCACTATTTTATTCCACCCCATTGTAGCACTGAAATCATGTCTGTTTGAGATTGCAATTTTAACTGTTTCCGACAAGAACTTGCTTTCGGTCAAGTCCGCTTCTTCCATCGTTTACAGGTTTGGTGGCTGTGCCCACTGTCTTTTGGATTCTGTGACGTTGTTAACGTTTATCCCCCTTGCTTTTCGGACTCTTCTTCTGCATCTCTTCCCTTCCCTTCCATCTTATAGACAAACCAACCACATTAGTACTATAGAGGCAAAAGACACAGATAATTCTAAAATGGCACCAGTCGAAACAGAGTACTATGACTTGGTGCGCAGCAACTCCACATCTCTTACAGCGTGCACTGAGCACCAGTCGCATAGTTGGATGTTCCCGTGGATGTTAACGATACGGACCTCAAGAAGGCATACAGGAAGCAAGCAATGAAAGTACGTATTCTCCTCTCTAGTCTCACCTCAGCAAGACCTTTTAGCTCACATATCCGGTGTAGTATCACCCAGACAAAAATTCTTCTGTAGGCGCGGAAGAGAAATTCAAGGAAATAAGGTACATCTGCGGTTAGTCGTCTATGAATTGGCGGTGGACTGATGAGACACAGTAAAGCGTATCAGGTGCTATCAGATGCTGTACGCCTCTTTCTTCCACTCTGATGATTTGAATCCAAACTGAGACACGATTAGAATTTGAGAGCGGTCTATGACAAGAATGGGAAGAATATGGTGCGTCAACCTTTTAATGTATACGAAGGTTAACATTTAGATATGGGTTTGCGTGGTTTAGGTGGACAAGGAGAGTACAGAACTAGACGACGCAGCGGGTTTCTTCGCAAACGTGTTTGGTGGAGAGCGATTCAGAGATTATGTGCGTCTCTTCCTGCTTTACACTGGAGATCTATATTTGATTTCTTGACACCATCCATGACGATTAAATTGTCGACTGATTCTGGTGGCACACGCAGATCGGCGAGATATCTTTAATGAAGGAGATGACGTCCGTGGCGCAGACAGTAATGACCGACGAGGAACGTGCCGAGCTCGAGAAAGAGGGCATCGTCCCGCCACCAGCAGCAGTGTCGCATGAACCACACGTTTCTGCGCCTGGTCCATCGACACATGGACCATTAACACCCAGTTCCGCTGATGCTTCGAAGCGCCAGTCTATTTTGGGGTCCCCGACCTCTTCTACAGGCGGCAAAGAAAGCAAAGAGAAGGATAAGAAGCGCAATAAACTCACGCCAGAGCAGAAAAAGAAGCTTCAGGATCTTGATGATGAACGCAAACGCTCGATGGATGAACGAGTAAAGATGCTCACTGCGAAGCTGATCGAGCGACTACGACCCTTTGTGGATGCGAAAGCACCTGGCGACAGAGAAGATCCCGAGACAAAGGCATTCGAAGCACGGATGAGACTTGAAGCAGACGATTTAAAACTGGAGAGCTTTGGGGTTGAGGTACGTGTAGTTGGTGTGCGTCAATGTTTTGAATTAGCTAAGCGGAGGATTGACAGCTGCTGCATGCAATTGGGACTGTATATATGATGAAGGCTACTTCGTTTATGAAGTCGAAGAAATTCCTAGGGATGTGAGTAGTGTCTTTATTGGTTCCCTTATGGACTTGTTTATGTGGCGCAGTGCAGGTTTCTGGTCGCGAATGAAGGAGAAGGGTTCAGTGGCAAAAGACGCATGGGGTGTCATCGGCAGCGCGTTTGTTTTTCATCTGTATATTCGTGTTCACACGTTCACGATATATGTAAAAACAGATTTAGCGTGCAGTCTCTCATGTCCGAAATGGACCGCTTACAAAAGAAGGGGGAGCTTGACGAGGACGTGATGCGCGCACTAGAAGAGGATGTTACAGGCAAGGTCCGTGTGCTTCGCAATATAATCAATCTTTTCGCGAGATAAGTTGACACGCATCAGATCATGCTAGCATCTTGGCGAGGCACGCGTTTCGAGGTCGTTCAGGTTCTCCGGGAGGTACGCTCAAGGGTTGTTTACGGATGCGCAGCAGTTGAACCATTCCTATTCAGGTTGTGGATAATGTGCTTAAGGATAAAGAGGCGTCCGATCAGGTTTTGTTCCACCGGGCGAAGGTGTGTTATTTTGTCGTCATTCGAAGATTGTATTCGTTGACATGACGTCACTCTTACCTCGTTCCTTGTTAGGGATTGATGATCATGGGACATATATTTAAAAGCACGGTTCCCGATGAGAGTGACGAGGTCCGACGCGAACTTGAGCGGTGCGTCCGGCTCCCAAGTTGATCCGCGATGACTTATGCACACGTTGACTTTTTATTTTAGAATGGTGGCAGAAGCAGCAGAGGGCAAATCAAAGCATCACCACTTACGCGGAAAGACCCGAAGAGAAGGTAACACAACGCCTGAGATGTCACTGAATGAAGGCGAGCATCCGATGAAAGAACAGGCTGAGGGAGACTCGGGAACACGTAAATACCAGTAGCGCTGAGACAGCCGGGGTTCGGGGTGGGGCGTGCACGATCGGATCGGATCTTAGGACAGGACTGCTTTTGATTTTTATGAATATTCTTTCGATCTTTCTGTGATGATGCTCTGCATATAAGTACATACGTGGTGCGGTGGTTACCTATATCATGCTAAACATACACTCATGAGCTCTCCATTATGGATTGTATCACGTGCTGGCCTCAAAGGCCTCTTGTACCTGTCATATTAAACGTTGAGCACGAATGGAGATCAACTGATAGGTAACACGCATACCCGTATGAAAAAAACATTGTCTTCCAGGACACGGAAGCCGGTGCACGCCAAAGCCTTAGTGGTAAGCATACACGCTTTGTGGGCTTCCGTGGTTCGCGCAGAATCAGTGAATGCTGGCGAATGGTTTCCCCCATTGGGCCGCGTAGGGATGGCTTTAGTGCACGGTCAGATAAGTGTAGAGATAGTCGCGCCACAACATACCAAAAGCTGGATGTAGCGAGGGCAAGACTAAAAATACAATCAGTAACAAATTTGCCATTAGAAGAAATGGCATTTGCCGTATGAAACATTGCCCTAAAAGGTAATAAATCAAGTTAGAAATATTTAATAATAAATATGCACACATACGAAATCTGTAGATGCCCCTGAAGGATATTGCCCGACGTTCATGCCATACTCTTGACATATCGTGTGAGAGAAGGCACCCGCTGTATAACTAGTATAAATTATATTGATTAATCAAAAATATCTTAGAAGGCGACTTACCAAGGATGTTATTCTGCCGTAAGTCGTAATAGGGCGTGTTCTTTGTAATCTTCAGACGGCAGGAAGTTGCCAGCGCCGCACCCCTGTGAACCTTGTAAGTTCCCGTGCACCATACAGATCATGATACAGGCTGACTCAAAACAGGCGCATACTCTTTCCGTCAGTTGCGTCAACTGGTCTCGTGTCGGCGCTCGGACATACCACCTCATTTTGGCGTAGTCTGGGATTACTGTAAAAGGCTTGTTGGGTCATCTATCTCCAGTGATAGTAGCTGTTAGACCGTACCATTCGCAGCTCTCTCACTCCCGTTTATCACACCGTTGACTCTGTGGTCAGGTCTGATCTGCTGTCGTAACACAGAGACGCTGGAGTATGCTAAAAACTGCAGCATCAAGTGCGTTGGCACCTTCCCATGGAGCATTGCCTGCATGAGCGCTGTTTCGGATTAACTCATGAGACCATATACGAACCACAAGACCCACGATTGCCCAAAGAATTCGGCATCTATAGATTGCATCGCCAACGAAGATACCACAAACGAAGATAGCTCGGGCCCAGGGGAAGGATGACACCTGTATTGGCCACACATGTATCAGTGATGTTCCGAATATATGTAGCGGGACACACGGACATTAAACAAGCATCCATCCCTTTGTAGGCTCCTCGCTCAAGCAGGATAATCTTTCCTCCACCGCCTTCTTCAGCTGAACCAGAAATCAGTATTTCATGTCGGCCCGAATTCAAACTGGTTACCTGGGGTTCCTAGAAGAACGACAGTACCAGGAACGTTGTAGGTTTCCAATGCGGATTTTATGGCTAATGCCACACCTACCCCACTGATTGCAATGAGGTTGTGGCCACATGCATGCCCAATCTCAGGTAAGGCATCCATCTCCGAATTAATCCCAAGGGTTCTGCCTCCCTGTCCGTGGGTATATTCAGCCTTCCAAGCAGTCTTGAGGCCGAGATAATGCCTCGTCACGGAAAACCCATGACTTTCCATGTAATCAGACAAAAGTCTGTGAGCAAATCTGTGAAATTTTCATCAGTAACATGCGCGAGAGATACACGTGCTGCAGACATTTCTTCAAACATCAATTCTGGGTGGCCTGTGTATCCCACAATCAGAGATATAAACGAGACAAGGGCTGAGGAGCTTACTATGAATCTGGAGACTGAGCGATCGTAGGGAAGAATCGAGTGTGTCGATCACAGTTTCTATTGTGTGCCGTATTTCTCCACGTATAGAATCATTAGAAGAAGGCAGGTCTGAATAAACGGGAGGAGCCTCCCACTGGGATACTGCAGTATCGAATCTGCTTCCAAAGTCACAGCACGTATCATAAAACACGCGAGAGGTCAGATCGGTCTATGGGACGGTAAAGGGTAAGTTTACACACAAAATGATGCAAAGACAAAACATACGATCTTAGCATCTCTTTCTGAATCAGATGCCTTTCGCGTCTGATCACATATATGGGATGAGTTTGCTTGTGTACTGGAACTCTTAGATACACGTTGAGGTTTAAACTTGAACAAGCGTCTTAGGGAAAGGCACCCGCTATGGTGATTGACATCAGAGGCGTCTAACGACATCAGATGGACAATGATAAAGTGGTAGCGAAGAGTGGGGTGGGGGATCACTAAATGGGGTCCTTGGTAACATGAGTTTATCAACTATTCGGCGCTTGACACCTGGTGCATATCGAACGCGGAATGAAGTGTGATCCATACTCCGGTACCATCGGAGTTAGGTAAGTCTACGCGTACGATTGCTCACGTTCATCTGTGATAGAAGATTGATACTTCGTGTGTATCTACACAATCTCAAGAACCTGGTCGTGAGGTCAATGAGGTTGTGTGAGATCCTGTAAAGAACTTCCCGTACTTTCACCACCGCGGAAAAAGGAACCTATTTTTCTCCAAATGTTATCCTCTTGCTGTGGTGTTGGCATGCTGTCTCGTCCGCTCAAGCCTAGGACAATCCTTCCGTGATGAGAGGAGAGAAGACAGTGATCCATGGATTTACTCCCTTCCGAAGTAGTTGGAGTATTGTCACCGATGAGTAACAACGTTTTCTTCTTCTTCTTCTGGCTCATGCTGCGGATGCTGCTAGAAAGACCTGGAAGAATGTCATAGCCGTCCAATTTGCTACTGCGTATCTGCACGTGCCCGCAAAAAGTTGGGGGAAGCAGTATTACCATCTTGCCTGATGGATGTAAAGTGTCAGTACAAATTAAATAAATATGACGCAGAAGAAGAGCTAAGCAGCAGGGTCATATTTTGACGCCTGACGTAGAAGAGACAGATTTAGGCGTAGTAGAAACGAGATTTTCCATGGTTTCCCATGTGAAATCCGAACAACACGGCTCTCATGTCATCGGACCTTCCGTGGGCGCCAACTTGTACTGCCAGTCTGAGCACCATCCGTTTCAACTCACCTCTTCGGGAAGTTGCCTTTAGCGTGATGCATTTACCAGGGTGTACAGAACTCTATTTCAACATAAGACTCAACGTATGGGGATGAAGTTTAGAATTCTTACTCACCAAGTTAACGGCAATATCCCCATCACGGGTCGAAACGTCAATTATGGCCCGACGGCATTGTTCTGACGATCCATTGGTGGCTAGAGTTAGAAAGATGGACCCGAAACGATTGCGAAAAACGGCATGCGGCGCTGCAGTGAGTAAGTCGGCTGCTTTCCTTAGCCCTACTAGGTCACTGTGCCTGGCTGCAAAGCCTTGTAGAGCGGACGGTTCGTCTCCTGACTCATCAGGGTCGATGATGTACGTGCCTGCATGCCGGGTGGGCCAAACTTCCTTAGAACCAAATAAAACACGACATGAATGGTGCTCGCAGCTCACCGGATATCAACTCATGGTGCTTTTCCAGCCGAATGGTCTTTATTGTGAGCGCATTGGCGAGCCCTATCGTGTCAGCCGACGCTACGTCAGGTTCTAACGCTACGTCAGGCTCTAACGCTACAACCGTAGAACCTGACGAGAAGCTATACGGCGGAGGGTCGTGATCTGGAATATGGGATGGAGACTCGCAGGGTTCCACGTCGTCTTGAATAAGCATAGCGGTGTGTAACTGCGGTTCTTCCTTGGTCTGCAGTATCATTTTGACAGCGGTGCATTCAATACTTGTTAGAACTCATCAGTAGCCCATTTAACATCACCAAAGGGGGTGGACCCCGAGCACAATGATAAACTGCGGATAAACTGCGCAGCTGCGGATAATGACAATAATAGTACTAACAGTCACGGGTCAAGCTTAATTATCCACGTCGCTTGATGCTGGGCCCGGCCTATTCTAGACCTTGGACTATTCTGCACTATACTATAAGTATACTAGGAAAGTTTGACAGTCCTGGAACGACATGCCAGTGGACTCAGTTCAGAGAGCAACAACCCTGAGTACTGAGTCCTGACAGTCGTGGTGTCCGGGGACTCGAGTGAGCCTGAGTTCGGGAATCAACTGATCACGCCCACTGAGTACTGAGTAGTGAGAACCAGCCCACCTGTGATATCTACGAGCTATCACACGCAAATTAGTAAGATTTAAGCGCTGAGCGTGCCATCAAGCGTCGTGAGGCTAGTGACGCTCGACTGGTTTGTAATGTTTTCACGATTCAATTGTTTTCGGTCAATGAGCGGTTGGCGCACTGCGATGCTGAAGGGGGTTCGGATATCCTGGAATCGAAATATTCTGAACAGTTCCTTATGTACTGGCCGTTTCACTTCCTAGATGGCGTCAAAAAAAACAGGGCCTGGCCGGGAATTGAACCCGGGACCTCCTCGAAATTGACGAATACCCTAACAAGGAATCATACTACTAGACCACCAGGCCGTGATGCTTTGATGGTGGATGGACCAGCTTTGCTAAATATTGGCAATTGGCCATCGAATAACTGAACTTTGAAGCTGAAGTACTGAGTCTCTTTACGTTTCAAGAATTAGGCGCCATAGGACGAATGAAATCAACCGTTCATCCGATACGCGTTACGGTACCATGGTCAAGAATCATTAATCAAGAATGGATGTAACGTTGATTGCTAAGTCTATGGTGACAATCTTTAGAATTCAATAGACGTAAACAGGACGGATCAGGTTCTAGGTTTGCCGTAAATAGTCTTCCCTCTTCAAGTGTCCACAGCGTGTTGCGATCCTGTAGTCGGACTGCAGGTGCAGCAGTAGAACTTTTAGGACGCTGGCGACGATAAGTATGACGTCTGTAACTCAGTATGCCCACACGGATCACCTCGGGCAGATCTTCCAAGGCCTGCGGAGCGCTGCCCACGATGCTCGATTGCAAGCTGCAACAGAATTGCGTCGCTATGTGCGTTCATCATTCATGCGTGCGAGTCACTTCTCATGATTCAGCAGGTTGCAATGACTGTCGCAGAAATGCCATCTGATGCTGTAGCAAAACTTTGGGATGATGACATCAACAAACGCTTGTTCGACCTTATGCACAGTCAGAATAATGTAGATAGATTAGGCGGACTTCTGGCCATAGGTGCGTTCTAAACGTTATGGCGTCATGGTCGTATAGCTTATGCCACTTAGATCACCTCCTTGAAAGTGAAGGAGAGGACACTATTGGTTCAAAGAAGTACCTCTTTCGGTTTTATAACTACGTCAAGCAGCTACTGCCAAATCACGATGTCAACATCATGCTGGCAGCATCCAAAACACTCGGCCAAATTGCTGCAATTGGTGGCGCCGACTTCGGAGAACGTTTTATGGATTTAGAGGTTCCAGCTGCAGTGGAACTGTTACAGGGTGACAAGCAGGAGTCTCCCCGCTATGCCGGAGTGCTTATCCTGAAGGAGCTCGCACGCAACAGTGCGATATATTTTCATTCCCACATCAGCCTCGTATTTGACAAGATACTCATACCTCTTCGGGACTCTCGAAACATTGTCAGGGAGGGAGCTGCAGAGCTTCTTGCTGCATGCCTTGAGATTGTTACAACACGTGAACGGCAAACACGTACGACTTACCTCATGAAGATTCTTCAGGACGCGCAACTGGGACTCAAAATGTCACAACCTGAAGTCATTCATGGGTCTCTTCTCACATACCGAGAACTGTTGTTACATGGTGATATGGCAAGTGTTTTTAGCACCGTCATCGCATTTGAATGATATTTGTCTTCAGTTTATGAGAGAATCGTTTTTGGATACTGCGGAACAAATTCTTCGCTTCAAATCACATCGAGACGGTCTCGTTCGCAAGATGGTCATCACCCTAATCCCGACTCTCGCTGCCTACGAAACGCAAGTTTTCTCGGAACATCACCTGCACAAATCCATGGGACATCTACTAACTCAGCTGGAAAAGCCAAACGAGAGGTCCTTTGGTTTGCATCCCCTTATCAGTCAAAATGCTACATATTGATTTGTTCTATCAGCATTCATCGCCATCGGTCATACTGCCACCGCCGTAGGAAGTGATATGAAACCTTTCCTCGATTCTATCATGGCTCAAATCAAGCTTGGTTTACAAGCCAGGGGGTACGTCTTATATAGACTATCGCATGCAGTCATCAGAACTCTTTTTACAGAAAGAAGAATGCCCCTTCTGAAGAACCTATTTTCCAATGTGTCGGAATGCTTGCTTCGGCTGTTGGTCCGAACCTCACAAAGCTTCTTCACGATCAACTTGATTTATTCTTTGCGTGCGGCCTGAGTGAGCCTCTTAGACAGGCGCTGATGGCTATTGCACGTAATATCCCTCCTTTGCTAAAGACTATCCAAGGTGCGTCAGTCAACACTGCACATGACATTCTTACTAAAACAAACACATACTCAGACCGTCTACTGGATCTACTTTCCATGATCTTATGTGGACAACCTTATAAAGCCATCGGAGCCCCACCTTCCCTTGTCAGGACTGACGTATCTGCGTTTACGAGAGACTTGAGCTCATCTCAGGTAAGTTCTTCAACACTTCTGTCGATCATACTAAGCACGACTTGTGAAGACAACTAGGAGCGGTAAGAGTCCTGAGCTCATCACACTTGCGTTGTCCACGCTTGGCACCTTTGACTTCAGCGGTAAGCTACCTGTCGCTATTCAATATAGTGTACTCAACATCAGCAGGTCACATCTTGAACGAGTTTGTCCGCAATGCGGCGCTTCCTTATCTGGAAGACGACAATGCAGAGGTTCGACGTGCTGGTGCTCTCACTTGTTGCAGACTGTTCGTCAGGGACCCAATTTGCTACCAAGCGAGTAGTCACGCGATTGAAATAATCAGTGACGTTCTCGACAAACTGCTCACAGTAGGCATTGCAGACCCAGGTAAGTTCATTTGTTCCCCTACAGACTACCTAACATAATCGATATTACTTAAAGACCCTACCATTCGGCAAACTGTTCTATCCTCTCTTCATGAAAGGTTTGATAAGCACTTGGCGCAAGCGGAGAACGTCAGGTCAATCTTTATCGCCTTGAATGATGAGGTCTTCGAGAATCGTGTTACTACTGTCACTTTGATTGGACGTCTTGCCAAGCATAATCCTGCCTACGTCATGCCGTCCTTGCGTAAGGCTCTGATACAACTATTGACAGAGTTAGAATACTCAACTGTAATGTGCGTCCATTTATTGCCATGACCTAGATCAAGTCATGAACATTTTTACAGGCGAAATCGCGAAGACTGCACCCGCCTTCTCACTCTCTTGGTGGGCGCGACTCAACGTCTCATAAAGCCATATGCACTCCCTATGCTCCGCGTCCTACTGCAGAAGGCGAATGACAGTAACCCGGCTGTAGCTGCAAATGTCCTCATGTGTCTCGGGGAACTGGCAGCTGTTGGCGGGGAAGATGTGGCTCCTCATATCCCGGAGCTCATGCAGGTCATCATCTCCAGACTCTCCGACCCGGCTCATGTCAAGCGTGATGCTGCTCTCCACACTCTCGGCCAGTTGTGTTCTAGCACCGGATATGTCATAACACCCTTGGTGGACTATCCTCAGTTACTTCCAATCTTGGGACGCATCTTGAGAAGCGAATCCGCTCCGCATGCACGCCGCGAGGTCGTAAGAGAAGTCGTTAAAGTTCTCGGTATCCTTGGAGCTCTGGATCCATATAGGCGAAAGGTTTGTCTGCACTTCTTCGCTTTGATTTACTGACATATTCTTAGGCGAGACCGGATGAGGAAGTCACGAATGAAACACCACTTCCTGCTGTCAATGCTGTCGCCATTTCTCAAACAGGGTCATTGACGGGTAGCGACGACTACTACCAGACCGTTGTGATCACGTCTCTCCTGGCTGTTTTGAAGGATCAGTCACTTAGCAATCACCACCACACCGTCATCGAAGCGATCATGAACATTTTCAGGACGCAAGGGTTGAAATGTGTGGCCTTCCTACCGCAGGTGCATAGTTCTCTTGCTACTGCATGACCAAATGTCGGACTGACCCAAATGTTTCGAAAGATCATTCCTGCCTTTACTGCCGTGGCTCGCACCTCCACAGCCCGTTTGCAAGAATTTCACCTGCAGCAATTGGCTATCCTAGTCGGGATAATTAAGCAACATATCCGCAATTATATGCCAGAGGTCTTTAGCCTTGTGACGGAACTTTGGGAGAACGCCTCCCTTCAGCTTCCCATAGTATCGTTGATCGAGGCGCTGGGGAAGGCTTTAGACGCCGAGTTCAAACCTTTTCTGCCAACTATCCTGCCTCATCTTCTGAAAGTTTTCGAAGGAGACCTCGAGAAGAAAATGACTACTCAGATTAAGATTTTTGATTCTTTCCTCACATTCGGGGCAAATATCGAGGAGTACCTTCACCTCGTCATCCCCGTTATTGTCAAATCCGCCGAACGACCTGATGCTACCACTCTGCTCCGCAAGAAAGCAATACAGACTATAGCTCATTTATCCCTCCGCGTCAATTTCTCTGACCACGCTTCTCGCATCGTCCACCCCTTGATCCGTGTGCTAGAGGGTAACAACAACGAGCTTCGACAGGCGGTGATGGACACCCTGTGTGCACTAGTTGTCCAACTCGGATCTGATTTTGCTATTTTCGTGCCCACTATCAACAAGGTGTGTATTATTGATTTATTCCTCCTTTTTAGATTATTGACAGTAAGATAGTGCCTGCTCCGGAATCGTATACCTCATCCCAGGTATGAGAATTTGATATCGAAGCTCCTGAATGGGGAACGTCTACCACAGGAGCCAGGCACTCATGACTTGCTGTGCGTCTCTTTGTGTAACTCCATGAAGTTAGTTTCTGATGTCCCTTCAGCGAATCCAAGGCTGCAGAAATCTCTGTGCCTGCGGAAGCGGCTAAATTGACTGTAAACCAACAGCATTTGAAGCAAGCGTGGGACGTGTCCTCTGCGAGCACAAGGGAAGACTGGACAGAGTGGATGCACCGCCTTTCTGTAGAGTTGATGAAGGAATCTCCGTCGCACGCGCTTCGGGCTTGCATGAGCCTTGTCGATATTCACCCTCCTTTGGCGAAAGAACTGTTCAATGCAGCATTTATATCCTGCTGGACAGAACTCTATGATCAGTATCAAGTGAATCCACCTTGTACTCGTAACCGATTCATACTAACCGCTCAATTAGGAAGGCCTCGTGCGATCCATCGAATGCGCCATCACCTCTACCACTGCTCCGTCTGATCTCGTGCACCGACTGCTTAGCTTAGCTGAGTTCATGGAACATGAGGAGAAGCCACTCCCCATCGAACATCGCACTCTGGGAGAGTATGCCATGAGGTTCCATGCTTATGCGAAAGCTCTTCACTACAAGGAGCTCGAATTCTTTACTGAAACCTCCCCGAACATTATCGAAGCGTTAATCGGAATCAACACCAAGCTACAGCAACACGACGCCGCTTGGGGTACTCTCATCATTGCTCGAGAGCAGTACGACGTCAGCAAGCATGAGGAATGGTACGAGCGCCTGGGCAGATGGCAAGAGGCACTTAACGCGTACGAAAAGAAAGCTCAAGAGGATCCAGACGCACCCGACGTCCAGATCGGGCGCATGAAATGTCTGCATGCCCTGGGTGAATGGGATCAACTTGCCGCTCAAGTAGATGAGAACTGGTCAAATGCCAATCACGAGGATCGCCGCGAAATAGCTCCGATGGCTGCTGCAGCGGCATGGTCACTTCGTGAATGGGATTCGATGGATGATTATATCGCTGCCATGAGGGCCGATTCACCAGATAGAGCGTTCTACAAAGCGATTCTTTCTGTCCATCAGAATCAATTCCCAAAGGCTCTGAAGGAGATCGGCAAAGCAAGAGACTTACTCGAGCCAGAGTTGACTTCCTTTGTTGGAGAAGGATACGGCCGGTCTTACAAGTAAGTTAGGCCTTGTACGCCGAGTTTACCGTGTACTAACATAGTGCAGCACTCTTGTTCGCGCACAGATGCTCTCGGAGCTGGAGGAGATTATTGTGTATAAACAGTATGCAGATCAAACTGACCGCCAGGCAGCAATGCGAAAAACTTGGATGAAGAGGTGCGTATTCAAAACTTGTGCAATACTTGCCCTTACCCTTCTTCAAGACTGCAAGGCTGTCAACCAGATGTCGAAACCTGGCAACGGATTCTGCAAGTTAGAGCCCTTGTCCTCAACCCAGAAGATGACCCTGTTATGTGGATCAAATTCGCGAACCTTTGCCGCAAGTCAGACCGTATGGCATTGGCAGAGAAGACGATCAATTCATTGCTTTCACCGGAAAGGGTGCGTGAATGACAACGTTAATACATTACAATGATTCCATTTCTGTTTTTTGTTCAGCTACAGCATCTTCGAGACGACCAGCACATGAAAGCTCCTCCAAACGTTGTCTATGCGCAACTCAAATATATGTGGTCCACCGGCGCTCGTGAGGAAAGCCTCAACTTCTTGCGGCAATTCTCTGCAAGCCTTGCAAGGGATTTGCAGGTGGAATCTAAGGATCACTCACAAAGATCTGGTGTTGGTAAAGCTAAGCTGGATGAACTCTCACGTCTTCTCGCTCGTTGTTACTTCAAACAAGGGCAATGGCAAGTAGAACTGAAGGAAGATTGGGGCGCTGTACGTGCATTGATCCTATCACATCTCTTACTCACTAGCTGGTCAGCGGAATGTCAAAGACATACTGCATTCGTACCTTTTGGCAACCCACTATGATCCTAATTGGTATAAGGCCTGGCATACATGGGCGCTAGCTAATTTCGAGGTCATTGGCCATCTGGAGAGTCAAAAGGAAAGCACAGCTGTCGACATCCCCGGGAGTGGACTTGCTGCCCATATCGTGCAGGCTGTTCAAGGTCAGTTTATTCTTTCTGAAGTTCGGGTTCTCACTCACCCTGAAATAGGGTTCTTTCGCTCGATCGGCCTCCGAAATGAGAACGCTTTACAAGATACTCTTCGGTTGCTCACGCTGTGGTTCAAGTTTGGCGCACACGACGATGTCAGCCAAGCCATGGCCAGCGGCTTCTCCGTGGTCGAGGTTGATACGTGGTTGGAAGTCATTCCTCAGGTGAGCGTAAATTAGCATTGGTCCCACTTCTTGTTGAAACATTTCCTTAGATCATTGCCCGCATCCAAACTCCAAGCGTCAATGTGCGGCGAAATATCAACAACCTTCTTACCGAAGTTGGAAAACACCACCCCCAGGCCCTTATATATCCTTTGACTGTAGCTTCCAAGTCCTCTAGCATATCTCGGAAGAATGCAGCCCTGGCCATTATGGACAGAATGAGAGAACACAGCCCTATCATCGTGGAACAGGCGCTTGTTGTCAGTCATGAACTCATCCGAGTTGCCATTCTTTGGCACGAGATGTGGCACGAAGGTTTAGAAGAAGCCTCTCGTCTTTTCTTCAATGACAAAAATCCCGAGGGGATGATCGCGACTTTGGAGCCCCTCCATGAGATGCTCGAGGCTGTAAGTGCATCCACTCTGAGTTCATTATCAAAATTGCTCAGGCATCACGGAATAGGGGCCAGCAACAGCTAGGGAAACATCATTCGCGCAAACATTTGGTCGCGACTTGCATGAAGCTCGGGAGGCTTGTCGGCGGTATCGCGCATTCGGCGAGATGTCAGAGCTGAACAAAGCTTGGGACATCTACTATGGGGTAAGTTGGGAAAGTAGATGATCAACTCCGTTTGCTTATCTTTTGTGTCCTTTCAGGTCTTTAGAAAAGTGGAGAAGCAGTTACCCCAATTGACTACATTGGACCTGCAATATGTATCACCGCAATTGCTAAAAGCCCGCGATCTTGATCTGGCGATGCCCGGTATGTACCTTGGATTTTACTTTGGTACTGCGTTGTACTTATTGGTCAACCTAAGGAACATATCAGAGTGGCCGAGACGTCGTTCGCATTGCATCATTCGCCACCAAGCTCACTGTTATAGCTTCCAAGCAGCGGCCACGGCGACTATCCCTGAAGGGCAGTGATGGTCAGGACTACCAATATGGTTTGAAAGGTAATAGCATGATCACCCCAACCCTGCTACATCGCTCATTGCTTTTCATACAGGGCACGAAGACTTGCGTCAAGACGAGCGTGTTATGCAGTTGTTCAGTCTTGTCAATACCCTTCTGTCCGTCGATACCAACAGCTTCAAGCGACGCTTACATATCCAGCGTTACTCTGTCATTCCATTGGCACCCAACGCCGGTCTCTTTGGCTGGGTAAAGGACAGCGATACTTTGCATGTCCTTGTTCGTGACTATCGAGACTCTCGCAAAGTTCTTTTGAACATAGAGTATAGACTAATGCTCCAGGTATGTATTACTGTTTAGAGGGCACGTCTCATCTACTGATATGTCTCAGATGGCACCGGACTACGAGAACCTAACGTTACTACAAAAGGTTGAAGTATTTGAATATGCGTTAGAGAATACCACCGGTCAGGATCTATATCGCGTCCTATGGCTGAAGAGCGCAAATTCAGAGCACTGGCTTGAACGCCGTGCGACCTACACCCGCTCTCTGGCAGTGAACAGCATGGTTGGCCATATTTTGGGTCTTGGCGACCGCCATCCGTCCAATCTATTACTGGAGCGCACGACCGGCAAAGTTGTTCACATCGATTTCGGTGACTGCTTTGAAGTCGCCATGCATCGCGAGAAGTTCCCCGAGAAGATTCCGTTCAGACTTACTCGTATGCTCACACATGCCATGGAGGTAATTTTTGTAACAGACCGTAGGCATTCCTAAGCTCACTATGACGGTGCAGATAAGCGGCATTGAAGGAAGCTTCCGGCATACCTGTGAAATCACCATGTCCGTGCTGCGCGCGAATAAGGAATCCCTTATGGCAGTCCTGGAGGCCTTTGTTTATGACCCCCTGATAAATTGGCGGCTTATGCAAGCTGACGTTGATTCACGCCGACCTGAAGGTGTGCCTAAATTTATTATTATCATTCAACTGGCTCATGTGAACAGCAGATGGCGAAACCGATCCTGTTCGTGCTGCTGAACTTGCTAAAGTATCGGGATATCCTCAAGGTCCAACTCGCAAGCTGCGCGCGAATGAAAACGACATTTTCAACGGTATGCATTTGCGTACATTTCGAAAGGAGAAACTAATCCTTTTGCAGAGGTTGTCGGGGGACCTGGAGCGAGGCAAGAAGTCCGGAACGAGCGTGCATTACTTGTCTACAATCGTGTCCAGCACAAGCTCACAGGTTCATCCTCTTCCCTGTGTTTGCACCTTTGCGTTACTGAATATTTCTCTTAATCAACAGGGCGTGACTTCAACCCTGACATTGTCCTTCCCGTTCCTGCTCAAGTCGATAAACTTATCTTGCAGGCCACCTCACTCGAGAACCTCTGTCAATGCTTTTCTGGATGGTAAGATGACTTTGTTGTCCTGATTGTATTGAGCTCAATTATATTTCATAGGTGTGCATTTTGGTAACAAGTGTCTGTTGTCTCGTCCATCTCATATAAATAGATATCTACATGTTCTACATTTCTGTACCTATACAATAGTCACATCTGCAATTTTGCTTTCTATTAGTTGCTAATAGCAAATGTTCAACCTCGAGAGCCCTCGAACCATCCGACCGCCGGCAGAAGCCGATCCATACGTGATCATTTCAGATTCCAGAAAGAAGGGATTATATCCATCACTCATCTCATACTCGCACTTGTTTTTCTCACTTTTCGCCTGCACAAACTAAACACAGCACCATATGCCAAGGGGAATACCCAACGCGAAAAAAGATGACTCTGGCATGCGTTACACGTCTATGCATGTCCCCCTGGCGTACGTTGACACCATGACTACATTTCGAGTGTTGACGATCGTATCAGACCAAACCCTAAGCATGTGGGCACTTCTTACTTAAAATCGGAGACACAGAACATTTGGTCGCGTAATGCAGCCCGAAAGAAAGAATTGGTGGCAGAGGAAATTGCTCCCTCGCCAGAACAGAGGTGGGTAATTTGCATGATAATATTGGGCTGGTCTTTCATATGGTAATACTGAGCTGCTCAGAATAGGCGTGGCTCTCACGTTATTGTTATCCACCCCGGATCGCGTTTTCTAAGAATCGGAAAGGCATCTGATGTCACACCTGCATCCATTCCAAATGTCATTGCGCGTAGACACAAGCCGCCGGTACCGGTTCCGACACACGTCGAGGGTATTTCGCGTCCGAGGAAAGGGCAAGTGCCACAGTTGTCTTCTGCGAGTCCCGACGGAGACGAATACGCAGTCGACATCACTTCGGATGATCCCGTACATACTCTCATTCCTTCACCATGCCGCATAATGTGCTAAGATGCTCATACAGTTTGATGCCAAAATGGGGTCAATTATTGTTTCTCTTCGCGAACGGATGAGGTTCTACAAACTTCGCGTCACATGCAACGCGGCAAAGGTCGCGTCGACCTTTAACGAGCAATTCAAGCCTGAAATTATTCCCGAAGCTAATGACCCGTTCCTTGTCGATTGGATTCAAGACCCCTTAGAAGACTCGGAAGTTCTGGTCGGTGAACAAGTATGTGCCATACTCTAATTATAAGTGTTGTTCTCTCAATCTTTCAGGCACTCCGGTTGTCCGATCCTCAACTCTTGAATTATTCAGTGAAGTGGCCGATCCATGGAAAGAACTTCAACACCAGGGATTATCCGTCACACCAAATAATACTGGATGATATTGAAACTATTATCGGTACTACACTGAGTGAGAAGTTCAACGTAAGACGGCCTGATTACAAGGTTCGCCATCTTTGATCCTTTGTATAATTGGTGTCGTTCAATACCACTAGGACTATTCTGTAGTTCTTGTGATCCCTGACTTCCATGATCGGGCATACGTCCGCGAATTTGTCAACATTCTTTTAGTTTCACTAGGCTTCAAGCAACTATGTGTGCAACAGGTGTGTGACGCGTATATAAATATCAACGAGTTCTAACATCGGGCAGGAGTCATTGGCGGCAACCTACGGCGCCGGAATCAGTAATGCGTGTGTTGTCGATATTGGTGCTGTCAACTCTAGCATAGCATGTGTGGATGAAGGTCTTGTTATCCCTGATTCGAGGTAAGGTGTACATCTGATGCAAAATTTACCGCTAATTATCGGTCAGAATCACGCTTAATATGGGAGGAAACGATATTACTGAGTTCTTGTACGTCCTGTTGGAACGAATCAGCTTTCCCTATCGCGATATTAATCTCGCACGATGGTACGACTGGGCCGTCATGGAGGATTTGAAAGCACGGCTATGCACACTTGCGGAGGTGAGTCATCGCAGGCCATATCTTTGTCACCGCTTAGGAGTTGCAGGGGGATGTTGCACTCAACCTGTATGACTTTGTAGTGCGCAAGCCCGGTAAACCCACGGAAAAATATGGCTTACGGGCTTATGACGAGATCATACTTGCGCCGATGGTGCGTTTCGCTGACAACAGGCCTTCATCAATCTAACTGCCGAATGGCCCCTTCGATACTTACATAGTGCATATTCGAGCCCCGTGTGATAGAGTTCGACAGGAAGCACATTGGTCTGCGCTCCATACCCCATCCGGACGTCACTGAAGAAATTATAGAGCATCCGGTAGATGTCGTACGTATTCCTGGCCACGGATAGGGTTTATTTACATCATGCCGTCAGACTCAAGCGATGATCATCTCAACGCAACATCTACTTCCACCGCCTTCTACAGCGCCGACGGATGTCCGTCATTCTCCGATTCCCATGACTCAGTCACAGGATGGTACGTAAAACTGCCTGGCTGTATTCAAAGACTGAAGCAGAGGCTATTGCGGTTTTAGAGAATGGCGGCAAGCAAGAACAGCAAGAGGTTTCACTGCCTTCGACTGCGCATGCAACACCACCTCCGGCGGTAGAATCCTCCGCACAATCCACTGCAGGAGCATCGGGGGGAGTTCCTGCTGATGCTCCGATGGAAGTAATTGATGTAGAGAGCGACATCAAACCATCTCCTATCCCTGTTGCTCCTCAGCCTCAACCTTCTCAGTCCTCTGTACCAGTAGCCCCAAATCTCGGTATCGATGTCTGTTTTGAAGCAAGTAAACTTCCTCTCGATGTTGCTATCTTCAACAGTGCGAGGGCATCTGGGGGCGATGATAAAATTCGCAAGCACCTCCAGGCCGTTCTGGTCATTGGAGGAACCGCTCTTATACCTGGAATGGCTCATGCATTAGAGAGCAGGTAAGTCGCGGAACATATTCACACATCATCAGATGTACTGAAGCACTGGGAAAGGCTGCAGGCGATTGCCACTCCATTGGTCCCCAGTATGGACAAGGTTCAGATTATCCCCCCTCCAAAAGAGGTTGACCCTCGCGTACTGGCGTGGAAAGGTGCCGCGGTTCTTGGTAAGATGGATTCGGTTGCTGACATATGGTTGACACCCGCGGATTGGGTAGGTGCTGATTCGCCACAACTCCAAGTCAGATCTAGGCTCACATTGTTGTTCAGGATGTTCTAGGTATGCGCGGTTTGAGAGAGCGCTGTTTCTATCTGTGATATTATGAATGCAGTAGCCGTGATAGGTCCGGCTATTCGAAAACACGAATACATACACCACGATAGTTGTACATTTCGAAATTACCGATTTACAAAAAAAGAAAACAGTCAACAATGATGAGTCTCAATGAATCTGTAAACCCTGATAAGTGCGATTTGATAAAAGTGATGACGAGTACTTGTCATTTCGTACTCGAAACTTTCGCGCCATTCCGCATCGGTCTGTCTTATCGTAAACCTCACCGTGAATTCATACTTCAAGTCTGCTTTTGATGATGATAAATTCTTCCCTGTGCATGTTTATCCACGACGCAGCGAGAGACGTCATCTCATGGCGTCCACTTCTAATTAAAACGGTGCACTTGAGGAAAAATCGATGAATACTTGAGGAGTAACCTGCCTTTCTTTTCTTGACCATTCTTGCCTTGCGTGACCATCTTCTCCCCAGTCAGCAAGTGGGCTAGAGGCGGAGGCGTTTGGAGAGTCAGCCTCCTTTGCGAGAGTGTTGATCATGCCGCGGATCGCGTTATCAGCTGTTCTGTTTGGTATGAAAGGGAAGGAGGATTCTGGACGGGGAACGTTATCTGGAGTGTACAATAATGCACTCCTACACATGGGACAGTCCACGGGTTCATGCCAGCTGCCACACACGCGATGCAATCGGGAGAAGAACCATTTGAGAATGCAAGTGGCGCAAAAGGTATGCCCGCACTGTCGTGGGTTCAAACTATATGGGCACGCCCTATACATCAATCTAGTGTTGTCCATTTAGAACAGATAAATGAGACTCACATGATCTCAAAACACCTGTTGAAAGAACACATAATTAATTAAGTTCATCAGACAATGTTTGGGTTTTTTACAATGGACACGTAAAGTAGTCTTCAAGGTGCCGTATGGTGGTTCTCTCCAGCCGTTGTTTGCATTCTTCGAGCAATGCAGCGGCTTCTCTCTCCTTGTGAGATACAGTGGCAAGCTGTTTTTCGAGTCTTCGAGATTTGGATCGGAACTCCTTCTCCTTTAGGATTAATTCCGTTTCCCGGGCGGAAACATTGTCAGATAAAGGCGAAGTACTATGGGGACCGGAAGGGGATGGACAACCGATAGCTTCCCCAAGATCGTGCATTGCAGTCCAATGTGCGGGCGCTCTCGCATGTTTGAACTGCCGTGGAGGCTCTGCATGTCTGCTTATTTTTGTTACTGCGTTTGTTTGATTTTCGCGTGGTGAGGTGGTGTGGCAGAGTTGTATGTGCGTGAATGACTATGATCAGTTGTAATGTAGTACGTCAACGACGAGTTAGCGGGTGCTTTCGAGTTAGCTTGGCATCAAAGTTTGTTGTGAGTTTACCTTGCACCCCGCTAAGCCTTGTGGAGCGCCTGAGGGCGAGTGCCGTGATGCTCCGTGTCATCGGCCTGTTCGCTGGTACTCGGGAGGATGGTCTGGTCATTGTAGCGCGAATGGAAGAAGTGCTGTATGGGACGGGATGAGCAACCCGGTTTAGGAAGGTGCTGTGGATTGATATTACTATTTTATCGTAAGAGCTAACTAGATCAGGAAGCTTGGCACTTCTGGCATATAAACCAGTCGGTGCACGGATGTCATATTAAGTGGTTCGTTCGTTGTGGCGCCAGGATACTACTTCGGTTACTCAAATACTGGCTGGCGCAATTAGAAAATTACCACACGGTGCAGCGTGAGGCATTCACGTATTTCGGAATCGGGGTGTGCCTGTGCTGTTCACAAGATGGCCCGCTGTTTTCGCTGTTACTAATTGTGGTTGAATACTAAGGTTCCGATTGAAAAAGTGCTTCGAGGGTGCCGCAAAGTCATTAAGTTCGCATGTGGTTTGATGTACATTGTCTGTACACACGTTCAGTACGTACCACTTGCAGGGACTTGCAAACTCAGCATAGCCAATTGCAACTGCTTTCCGTAGCGGGCCGTCCCCGTAAATGACGCGGGTCGAGACTCCATGCTGTGCCCGACCCGACAAGGGCGGCCGACCGAGTCATGCTTCTCCCGACACGGAACCGTCTAGCATCATCGAACCTTGGTGCTTCTCACAGTCTGCCTACGTACTCCTCTTAGTCAGTATCAGTTTGTGCCGAAAAATAAACTCCCATGAACACCTGTGCTCAGGTACGCTCAAATGCGCTTATTAGTCGTCTATCACCTTCTTAACGGCCTTAAGCAAACCACTCTCTACAAAGATCCTGCACAGGCTCGGGACTTAAAAAATCAGCTTATCAATGACGATGGGTCCGAGACTTGCGCTTGTCCGGAGCGTAGTTAACTACCCGATGTCCCATCAGACGCGGTGCAAAGTCTGCCTCGGACTTGAAACCTGAAACCATCTTTATTTTCTGCGATGCGTATGTTTTCATAATGATGGTTCAAAGTGATCCGAGCCTGGGGATATCAGATCGGGGTGAACTTGCAAATGGGGTACTGTGCACAAGCGCCCCGAGTCAAAGTGAAACAGACCTGCGTCCGGAGTCAGTGCTCGCACACTTTGCACATCTTAATCACCGAGTTGACTGCTGTCTGCCGATCGTATCAATAGGAGCATATTATATTCCGAACTTGTTGTATAAAACATCCACCATCGTGGCTCTGTACATATGCAATTTATCAATCCATCCATTGAGAAAAGTCTGACAGCGCTGGCTGTTCAATACAGGGTGGTCACCATGTACAATCCGCAGAAACGACGCCGATTGGACTCACCGCCATGATTTTTAGTAGGCGAACCGCAAGGAATTAAGTGGGGGCGCACTGTCATAACACTCGAGCGATGACTGCCTACCAACCGGGAGCATTCACTTTAGAACTTGGTCAACAAAGGGAGATGCGCAGGCAATTTCGTGACGGGCACCACATGCTCCATATCGTGGCTGCGCTCATCCCGTCGCTTGCAAGTTAGGAGGAAAACGTCGAGGAAATCGACATCAGTGGCTGTCACACTTTTGGAGATAATGTGTGTGACTAATTGTGACGGCACGTTTTGTGGCTGACCGGCGGACCGCGTTATCAAAGATGCGACATGGTGATGGCATCAACGCAAAACCATGTGCACCGTGTGCACGATGACGGTATTATTGTGTTTTCAGAGCAAAGATCAGAGAGTAGGAGACAATTGGGGAAATTTGAAACATGTGAGAACTTCCGTGGTGGACGCTGGAGTATAGAACAGTGCTGAATGGGTTTTGCGGCAAGCGGTTTTCAAGTGGATGACCGAGAGGCTGGTCATGTGTATCGGGACGCCTTCGGGCAGATGAGTGAGTTATTCGGGGTGAAAAAGTGAGTTTGACGATTGGCACGTAAACTACTAAATATAGAAATAATGTTCCATTAAAATGGGTTTTTTTTTAATTTGAAATGGGAAGTTTGATCTCAGATTTGACAATTACAATATTGAATTGAGAGAAGACAACGATCAGCGCGAACCGGTTGAGACACAGACACAGCTCGTAGCTGCACCTGTCCGCGCGCTCTGCTTGGGGACGAAACCGTTGCGGATAGTACGCCCTCTTCATTTCATTCCGGTGCTTGGATTCATCACAGATTTGCTTACCATTTCATCTGATCAAGCTTCGCGCTTTGTCACGTATGTTTTATTACTCCATCCCGTAACATATATTAACTCGACCACCTAATCGGACAATCTTGGTGTGTCAATATTCCTCGAATCCATTCAACTTGTTCATTCCGCAAGCCGTCTTCTTTTTCTAAGTCGGTTCACACATCCGCTAGATTCCGTCTTCTTCAGGTTCGCATCCAATGCAGGCACCACTTCTCCTCCAACCACCACCTCTTCTTGCACTTGCTCAGCAGCAAGTTAATCAGACGCGTCCTCGCGTTTCTCAACACTTCTTATTTCACGACCTTTCCAGTCTCTTGGATCCTCCTCATCCCATGACCGTAGATAATGATCATGATTACTCCTCCCAGCCAGCGGGAACAAACTACACCTACACATCATCCCGAACTCAGTTCGATGAAGGCTCTCATTCAGATCCACATAACTTGTATGACGTAGCATCGTCTTCTCACACACCTCAACCATATACTTCACTTCCAAATACTTCACCTACATCTAATTACACCTCCGTGTCCAATACTCGCACTGCCGAAGATATATCCTCAGTCAACGGAACTCGTTATGTTTCAGGTTCCCCTTCTTCCGTTGATGATCATCCGACCGCTTCATTTCCTCAGCCATACAGTGCTCCCCATCATCAGCATCATTTTCCTACATCGGCATCTTCCTATTCCCCACCGGATATGGTGCGTTACCCAATTACGTCGAACCTTAGCTCCCGTGGAACCGATAAATACGCCCATGCCCTCTTGGAACAACGCCGCATGTCCGAGCCAGCCATGTATGGCAGCGCAATAGGCGGTTATTCCACGAGTTCTTCAGCCGATCTAGCCTCTGGGCGATATCAACAGCTCCAGCACCACTACACGTCGTCACAATCATCCCCCAGATTGTATGGGAGCTACGCCTCGTCTCTTCAACGTACGCTAAGCTCAGGGTCTGTGCGTGATCCACTCTCGGGATCGTCGTGGAACAACAAAGATCAACTTTCATTACACTGTTACGACGGTGTCGACCTGGAAGAACCCATATCACCTCTTAACCCTAATTTCTCGGGTGGCGAGGGCTCCCCAACAATGGGTATGCCCTACGGCAGCCTTTCCGAGGAATATGGTCCATCACCGCCTGGTACGGGCACTTCCACATCGTCCAACGGCGCCAGGCGGTTCGTTGACGCTTCAGGCTCGAGTTCTGACGGTAAACAATACTCATTCGTGGCATTGCCTGGAAACGCAGTCAAGAAGCGTCCAAGGCGGCGTTACGACGAGATTGAAAGACTTTATCAATGTTCATGGCCTTCATGCACCAAGGCATACGGCACTCTAAACCACTTAAATGCCCACGTCACGATGCAGAAACATGGTGTCAAGCGTAGTCCAAACGGTGAGTCTTCATGCTTTGCATTTTACTTCAGTCGGGGTGTATTCGGCACCTCACGATGACAATAACAACTTCTCGTCATTATTTATAACCCTCAACACAATTACTGACTGTCCACTTGCAGAATTTAAAGAGCTTCGTAAACAATGGCGGAAGTCCAAAAAGGAGGAAGCTGATGCTCGTGCTGCTGCGTCAGCAGTGATGGGGAGGTCGGCTCATCATGCTTATCTCTCGCGCGGTATGCATGACTCGTACGCCGACGTGGATTACCAACTTCGCTCGCATCCGCAGCAAGGTTCCCATGTTGATCGGTTTACTCCAACCGCCTCTCCGGAGGAGATGCATGATATTGACATGCAAGACGTTTACGAACGCCGGCAACAGCGTTTCAGTGGCCTCTTCCCTTCCACTTCCCGCACTAGCAGTCCTACATACACCGCCACCCATTCATCAAATATGCCCTCATCGCACACAGCCATGGCCCGCCTCCCTACCAACAGCACGCTTTTGACACCTCTCCCAGGATATGAGCATGCGGGAGCCACCACAGACCTTAATACGTATGCTTCGTATGGTGTATACCCGGACAACCGTCCTGGTTCTGGGCATGGGAGCATTGGAAGCTACGATGAAACGCGACGGAGTGGATGATTTGACGACAAGCAGTCCTGCGTTCACGATCTCATTCCTTTCCTTTGGGATTTTATCACGATACCGCGGCAGTCCCATGATGCTTATGCCTTTTATGCCACGCATCAACGCCTCTATCTTTGCTGAAGTTATATTGTTCATGGTATTGACTATTATCCTACTAAGTACATACATTACTAGTTTCTCCTCTCCTTTTCCTATGCTGTCATATTTTATTCGTTCATGTTTGGGACACTCCTCATATTGCATAGGAGACTTTTGGCCCAATAATCATGGAGCTGTACTTTACGGATCATACTTGCCATCCTAGTAATAGTTACTTCTGTACATGAGTAGGAACGAAACAAATAGATTCTTAAAAGTTGTGTCGACATTTCATTCCTGACTTCTTCCTTTCTTCTGAATGGTACTTCGAAAGATATGGAGGTCCCTGACTGTGCAATCCAACCGCTCATAAAATTTAACTTCAGAAGAGCTGCCACTTGCAATTTTGAATATGTGCCACCATCATCTGTGGTCTATCATGGACTTCTATAGAGGGCACGTTGTAATTGAAAGCTCCGAACTCGTGAGAACATGATGTAACAACCGCACCCATCGCGATCACATTCATCGATAGAGTTTTCTGCACGCTGCGAAGATTCATCCGAGTGAGCTTGTTTTTATGCAATTATTGCAATGCAGGTTTGATGCAGGCGATATAATATCGCTTGTATTAGAGTGCAGTGCAAGGTGCCATGAGGTCGATATTGCGCCACGCAACAGAAATCTAGCAAGACCGTTTCCGAATTGCCCACATCGAGCCACGCTCATGCAATGCCGCGCATGAAGACAGTACTGTTGCTGCGACGACGACGGCCCGTATATTGGCTTTGTGGCCGTGCTCAGTTGCGCCCGACTTTTCTCATGGCGGCCGCAAGTTTCCGCTCCACAGACAGGCACTTCGTTCGAGGCTGATCACAACTTTTTGATCAGAGGAAAATCACACCCTTGTCAATCCACTGATCTCTATCGTCTATCCATTGGTTTACTTGGGTCTCCACATGATGGCTGTATCCTTTCCTAGGAAGACCGGACATTTCGGTAATTATTCAGAACTGTTCTTCAGACTCTTCAAGTACGTTATGCTGCCTACACATATAAGGTAGCTGGACTGACATACAGACTTGATCAGGTTATTAATCTGCTCCCTTCGAGGCATCACTCGAGCATTTTTACGACGGAACATGGGTCTTGCAGGTGAAACTCGATCCTCGACGAAAGAGGTCATGGTGATGAAGCTCTGCTGTATGACAGTTCCGAAGTCGAGTCATACCTTTGAGGCGCTGGGTGGCACGCATGGCGGGCTGCGTGTAGGGATGCACCCACATGGTCGATTGTGGAGGGCGATGATAGCGCATCATGTTGATATGATGGGTGCAGCATAACCTCCGCATTGCCGGTTGCTTGAACACCGAGTCGCCGTCTGGCCCTGCCAGTGCATGTCAGCGCAATCAAGGTGGCGACGTAAGGACTTGTCTGCGGCTTCATATTACGTATATGTTTATTTGTACCGCGGGTACCGCATTGACGGGCCGCCGGACTCCTTGCATGTTATCTATGTAATACAAACGTATTGAACAAGTCGATATGTCTGTTATTTATAAGTAACAAACTTTAGAATGAGGTTCAAAATCAATTTAATTTAAAGTGTGTACATAAAGGTTTACAATTGTTCTCAATGACGAATAAAGAAATATCAATGGGCAAACGTCATCAGTTTGAGAAGCTTCACCACTATTGGCCACGACAAAAAGATTTGATAAATTTATGAACGATACACCTTCCGACCCCTTTAGCGTTCTAGATCTCGTACTCGAAATGCCTCGTGCGTGCCACTGTGGGGATAATAACTTTGTAGTTGGCAGCCGTCACGTGTTCACTATCTCCTTTCGTTTATCGGTTCTTTGATGTGCGGCACTGTGTTTCACATATCTAGGAAGCCGATCATGTATTTTGGTGACAAACAAACATGGTTCACTGGTTAGCTCTACCTTGGGCCGAACGCGAGTGAGGACGGGATCATATCGGTTTGCAGGGTACTTCTGTCAAAGGTGTACGGCAATGGATGCTAGGTTTAGTGCACACCGTCGATCGCCGAATTACGCGAAACGTTTGTGGGTCAACAAGCGTGTGTCAGCTTATCGGGATGACATTGTTATCAGATTAAAATATTTTGCGCCGCGAAAACAAGGTTGTAGTCGTTATGTGATATAAAATTCTTTCACATAGCCATGCAGCACTTCCAGAGCTGAAAGAGGCCTTTAGAGCCAAGTGAAAAAAATAGCAGCTTGGGGTAGGCTGTTACGGAGCTCCTGGCTCACCGGTGCGGAGCTGCAGCGGATGATGGTAAACGTGCGACTACAAAAAAAAAAAAAGAGAGCAATAGAGAGCACGCCACTATCAGTCGAGCGGTCTGCCGTCACGACAGAAGTGCTGCGGTGATCTCGATGGGCGCCCTTCAAATATTGGCACCCTCGTTTCGATATGTTGCACCATGCCCTACACGGTCAACACAGAATAGCGTTTGGTGATCGTTCCTGGCTACGCCTCCGGTGAAGTTTGTCTGGCTAGACCACCATTTCCAATCTACAAAAAAGGAGTAACAGTACCCCTAATTATGAGAAGGATCATACCAAACTTGCGAGCGCAGGAGATGAACGACTTCGTGTGGGTCCCCCCACCACCGCAATACTTGGAGTAGAGTAGAGCCGCCAAGTGGCGCTGGGTTTGTGATTTACAAACGACCGACATTTGCTGGTACGTACAGGATTTAAGCAAAATGGGGGTGAGTTGTTGACAAGTTGAAGCGGACATATGTTTGAATAGCCACGTACTGCGATCTGGGCTAAGTGCGCGGCCGCCCATGCCCTAGCGAGTAGTCTAAGTTTGCGACGACTTTTCGGCGTGATTCTCCGCGAGACTCTGCAGGCTTCAAAGCTTCATGACATCTTGACATGTAAAACAGTCTTTAGTCTCTGCTCCGTTACCAGGCAACCCCCCGCAGCAAACCGATCAACCCCCCGGCGACATGCGTGAGTCGTGACATCATGGCACTCAGTTGATGCCGCAGCTCGACCGCCGTTCCACAGTCGCAGCTCCCTACTCTCTGACTTGCCCGTTGAGATTTTGTATCACAACCATTCACCCGATGACTATGCTTTCTGACTTACCTATCGAAGTTCTTTTGGATAATGTATTGCCTTGGCTTGCAATTCCAGATCTAATCCATCTGGGACAAACAGATCACTTCTTTGCGCGATTGTGCGACGATGAGACATTCTGGAAGAGGAAGTTGGAAGAGGATTTCAATTTTACAGACGAGAGGACCGCACGAATAAGCGGATGGAAACATCTCTATAGAGGTTTGCTCAACCCCAAGACTTACGTATGGGGGTAAGCAGTCTTTTTATTACGCGATTCCGTTACTCTTCCGCTAAGTCGAATTATTTCACGTAGCGAGACTTCAAAGGGAAGATTAGGATTGAGGAAGATACCAAGCACAACTCTTCATGATGTTCCATACCCAGTCGAGTTGCAAATCAAATCAGGCGCGCGTATAGTCAGTCTCTCAGCCGCTGGATGGTACGTCGTCGTCGTCTCATACGACAAAACTGCTCATGTGACTCCAAACAGGGCATTTTTTGCACTGGACTCTGCTGGTAGCGTGTATGTGTGGGGTGAGTCCACAGATTATCGTGCGACATTAAGGACAGAAACTAATATCGCACCCAGGAACTTTGAATGGCACCTCGTATGCTCTACAACACGATGGGTACTCCGAACCGGCAAAACCAGCTCATACACCATTGAGGCTTGACATGCCATCTCCTACGCGGAGCATTAGGTTTGAGTGTTTTTGTGCGTCGAGTAAAATACTTATTTGCATTTATTAGTTGTGGGCGGCTGCACGCTACTACGCTGGACGATCAGCATCGCGTTTGGACCTTTTTAAGCTGGGGCCGTCCCTTCAGGCTCGACACACCGGCACTCAACGCAACAACGTTGGATTCTACACCTGCGCTGGTTGAATGTGGCTGGAACTTTTCGTCAGTCCTTACCAAATCTGGTGATGTGTATGTGTGGTGGCCGTTCTCTGCACCTCTCAAGGACGTCATCGCTGCACACGATGTGGCTATGGATGCCGCGGACCAAAAGGCTCACGCTACAGAGAGTGATGTTATCCCATGCTCGACATGGGAGCTTCGCCAAGAACCCACAATGTTACCACCGCTGCCTCAACTGCCGGAGCTGCCACTAGGGTTAGCGGAACCTGTGAAACTTGTTAAGCTTGCAGCTTTGGAGAGTAGGCTCATCGGTTTGACTAATCATGGTCATGTTCTCTCGATTCCTGTTGAAAGCGATGTTGCCGTTCGGTCTGAGAGATGGGAATATGTGGGTTAAATTTATTCGTGGAACAATAACTGCCTCATGCCTTTTCAGCTTCCTAACTTCTCTGAAGTCGACAAGGTTCAGCAGCACCCCGCTTATGTTTCTTCCCAGTTGAAGCCGCCGCAGAGCTTGCGAATATCTCATGTAATTATCTCGGCAGAGTTTCGAACGTTCCTCCGTTGCTGAATCGTCTCTTAGATTTCCGCGCAATTTCAAACCTTTGTTGCCTATTCTCCCGGTTCCAGTTCTGTCATTCTCTTGGGTTCTCACGAAACACGTGCCAATTCGAATCCTTTGATTCTCCCCGCACTTCAAAACAACGACGTCATCTCTGTTGTTCTTGGAGATTACCATTACGGTGCTCTTACATCCACCGGGAAGCTTTTGACATGGGGTGAATATTCTCGAGGTGCACTCGGTCTCGGGGATCCTGGCCAGCTTCCTCCCGGTCAGCCAGGGGGCTACAGAACTGAAGCACGCAGGAGCGCTGCTGTCGCCAACGGCGGTCCGTATCCTCCGGGCATCTCCGAGCCCGCGGAGGTCAGCTTTGGTCACGGGAAAGCACAGAGGGATAAGATGTTTTGCTTTGCCATAGCGGCTGCTGGGTGGCACATGGGAGCTCTCGTCATTGATTTGGAGGTGAGATCTCAGCTGACTGAGTTCTGACTGCTGATTAAATTCTGGATCAAAATAGCCACCCACGAATGTTCAGAATGATAACGACGAAGACGAAGACCCTCCCATGCCAGGAAGGTTTCCTCGGTCTCGCGAAATGGGGGAGTCCCCGCAGGACTATCCTGGGGAGCCAGGTCAGTGGGGCCCGCCTATAATGGCCAGAGCGTTTCGAATCGGGTTTGCCGGAAGGGGCGCCACCAGGGGTGGACATTTGGGTCGCGGCCGTGGCCGTGGCCTTTGAGAGTAAGAACCAAACTTAGGGTTCATAAGAATCGATGGGCCACTTCTCATGCTTAGATGCGGGCGTACGGCCGTATCATATCATGTTTCATTCTGTCTCTTGATCGCAACCTTTTGATGACATTACGAAAACATTAAGACTATAATATTTATCAAGGTGTGATGTGGTTTCTCTTCCTTGTCTGACGTGTATAATCACACCTTTCGGGGGCCACAAAGAACGTCCTCGTGGCGAGGTGAACAATACTGTGAGAAGTCTTCTATGTACTCACCATATTTATGTTCTGTCCATTCCCGTAGCGGAGTCCCGAACAGGTATTAATGACCCTTCAGATGGCAAACCCAGAGTCACTCGATCAATATGTCATCTCCGATTATATTCTACGACCTCCCTTCGACCCTGGCGCTGAATGCGTGGTCCCCGAATACCTGGAAGGCCCGGTATGTGCTCGGTGTATGCAATGATATAGGCAGTCACTTACCTTGCACTCACATAGATATGCTTTGAACATCAAGGGTGTTGCGTACAAGACCGAGTGGGTCGAGTACCCTGACATCGAAGCTCTTGCGAAAAAAATTGGGGCGCCAGCTACAGGCGCCAAGGCTGATGGCAGCCCATTATACACCCTCCCCATCATTAATGATCCCAACACTGGGAAGGTCGTTGCTGACTCCTTCCTTATCGCCGAATACCTTGATACGACTTACCCAAGTGGAACTACCTTGTTTCCCCCCGGCACAAAGCCATTGATGGCAGCATTAGAGGCCGGAGTTACAGGAAGCATCACAAGCATTTTCCCTTATCAGCTCGCCACGAGCTGCTACATCCTGAATCCTTCCAGTGAGAAGTACTTCAGAGCCACCAGAGAGGCGACCTATGGAAAGAAGATTGAGGAGTTCTCTCCTGCTGGTGCCCAGCGTAACGCTGATTGGGCCAAGGCCAAGGAAGGCCTCGTTGCTGTAGACGAGTGGCTGTCGAAGAATGGCAGAGGGAAGTTCGTCATGGGAAACACTGTCACGTATGCAGACGGTATTCTCGGAGCGTGGCTTACCTGGATTAAAGTTACCAATGGTGAAAGTAGCGCTTTATGGAAGGATTTCGCGAGCTGGCATGGAGGAAGGTGGGGTACCTACGTTACCAACTTGCAACCCTTTGCGACAGTCTTGTAGCTGCTCTCCTTACTAGTAGACAGACCATAGACGAATGAAGATAGATGATGTTCCTCCGTACTATGACCAAATGCGCCGATGTGGTGTTGGCGCAAGCCGATTGCTTTTTGTGTTGCAAAAAAAAAAGAAGGACTGTGCGGTATATGAAGATTGCAAATCTTTCGATCAAGTCAAGCTTCTTTCTGACCGTTAACGAGTTTGAGGGCCTAGTGACCGCTGCGCCGGGGCCATTATTTGAAATACTAACATATGTTAACCGACTATCGTACGATCAAAGCAGGGAGTACCGCTGAGTCGGTTTGGCGCCTTTAATTATGAGGCCGAAGTCAGGGACGGTGAGGAATAAAAAGGCAAAAATTTGGGCCTGGCCGGGAATTGAACCCGGGACCTCCTCGAAACGTGGTAACCCTAACAAGGAATCATACTACTAGACCACCAGGCCTTGAAGTTGCCAGGTTCATATAACACTATGACAAGGTGAGAGAATTTGACCAGTAAAGCGGAAAGTATGAAGAGCCTAACGAAATAACGAATGAGGCAAGGGATATAAGATAGCACGTAGGTATTGTCTACCATAGGGCTTCGCCCCAGCGGATAATAATCAAGAACACAAAAAAGGTAACGACAGGAATATATAATTTATTTGAACTTGAAAATGTTCCTCAGAGGCGTAGTAAGACGGCTCTTGGGTGCAACACCCTCGACTCCCATCCTGAGATCGTTCTCGTTCATCGTCGACCATCGCTTGCGAGCACGAGCATAGGCAGTTTGCGCATTTTCCTTCTCTCCGCTAGCGACACGATTATGACGGCCAGGAGTAGAGGTCGCCGACCCGTTGAGCTCGGGTACAGGCGGGACCTGCTGGCAGGCGTTGGTGTCGACGAATTTCAGAATGGGTACCTCAGACGTGCGATAAGAGCTGAGTATGGCACCCTTAGGAACGAGCTTGGACTTCATGGTGTGCGACTTCTTGTTGATGACAGGTTCCTGAGTTGCCTTGGGCAGCGGCACAACATGAAGAGGACCTGTCGCAGGTTCAATATTCACAGGCTCCTTTGCATCTGCCGACGTGGCGCTATCGATAGGGCTCATGAAGCTGTTCCGTAGAGGAGAAGGGCGTTTTGCTACTGTTGACTCCGGTACTGGCACGACGAATAGGCCCACATCTTGACTGCATCTGACATCCTCGAAGCGAACGCTCTTGACCTTCTTTAAAATTCCTCTCACCCGTGGAGGGGTAGAAGGAGTAATTAAAACAGGAGGAGGGGGGAGAGGGACGCATGGTGGATCAGTCAGGGGCGCTAGAGAGACCTTGACCGTGGGGACTACTGACTGCAGACAAGGAGGTGAGAAAGAACGAGTCAGGCTGGAACGGGCGGAACAACGATCCGGAGTGATGTCCAAAGACTCCATATCTGGCACGATCTTGGGCGTAAATGAAGGTGTCGGACAACGAGACACGTTGTCAAGGGCGCTTTGAAGATCAAGGTCGAGGTCATTTTCAAAGGCCCATTCATCGTCACGGGAGGATGATGGCATTAATGATACAGAGTCCGTGTCCGAGTCAACAAATGTATCTTGACATTCCTTGTTGTTGTGCATCACAGGTATGGAGATCTCACTCGTATTAAGTGCGGCGTATTGCGATCTGAGGCTTGATAGCATACTACTGTGGTCGGTGAAATTTTTTCCATCGGGACTGGGGACTCCAGGATCAAATTTCGGTGACCAGACAGTTGGAGATCCGCGGAAGGCCGTAGGGATGTCAGGATAATCCAGATCGTCCATTTCCTTGAGTTGCAAACCGGAGACCTTCTTGCCTCTTCGAATAGCCAGGGAATCAATAGAACCGAGTTGTGGCAACGTGCGAGATGACTTGCGGCATGTTGATGCCAGTTGCTTTATTGTCTTATCAGAGCAAGATTCAAGAACGGGACTGGCCGAGAAATGTGCCCGTGTCCCCATTCGTCCGCGAATGGGTGTAATGGATCCTGGTCCAGATGAAACTGTATTTTGCTTGATAGCAGTCATTGGAACGTGAACGGACCATCGATTACATCCGACCTGATGCCCGGAACATTCCTTTGAAATAACAGCAGTCTCCCTGTGGCTTCGGATGCCTGGAATGCAGGGCGTAGAATGAGGGAACATTTCTTTGGAAGATCCATTCGGGCTCTGTTGATCCATCCGTGCTTGTCGTATCTTCCCATTTTGCAACTTGATGGTTTCAGCCGGAAAGATGGAACCTTCAGAGATCCAGTCACGCCTAGGAACCAAATTATCACTAGTCCAGGGTACGTGCCTGGGAGGACGCTCAGGAGTTAGCCTATCCTACATTCGATTTCGTCAGCTAAAGTGACAAACCATAAAAAATCTATAACTCACAACCCAAGTGTTCATGAAGAGCTGTTCCTTCATGACCAAGTTCATGCGCGGGATTGTTGGTGCTGAGAGAACAATACGAGCGGTGCGTTCGTCTGGATGTATGTCTCCGAGAGCGATGACACCTGGACGAACAGCGAATGGTACTTGAGCGCGGTGACCTTGGATAATGAATATAGGTGGCTGGTGATCCTTTGGGAAAGGCGGCACGTCCTCCCAGTCACTTTCATGATCTTCTGAGCTCCTTGTGAACGAGACCGATGGAACGAGTGACTTGAGATCTTCCAATGGGCCTGCTTGAGCGAGGACGGCGGCGATCTCGAGCGACGGCGGCGACGGCAAGGGAGATGGGCGAGCCGGAGGACGAGGGATGCGTGAGGGCGTGCCGGAAGACATTTGGTACCAAAAAAGCAATACAGAAAAAGAACAATGCAGACGCACCAAACGTCAGGGAATACCATGGTCCCCACCTGAAGCGAACGGCTGCGGCTGACTGCGGCATTTAGCCCTCCGGCTGAAGAGGCTGACTAGTGCCAAAGCCGTACAGTGACGTGACTAGTTCGATAGGTCTACAGACTTACTTAGCGGCCACAGTGATCATGGTTCACTTGTAAAAGTACTGAGGTCTTCGTTCAGGGCTGTGTTGTCGGCCTTACAGAACAAAATATGGTGATGTACAATACGTACGCCGGTATGTTCGCGAATTTGAAATTGGCATTATAAGCGAAAAACTACTACAAATATGACGAGAACCAACAGAACAAGGGTAAAGAAACATCCGAAGAAACATTCGAAGAAATTTCACTAGCACTGCTATACGTTATATCTTCAGCCACCCGAACTTCTTCTTCTCCCTCCCGCACGTGTTTGATTGGGGCATTGACATTGTATTGGAGCGAGACCTCTTGAAGAACGCCTTGAACGAGGTCAGGCCAGTAGGTGGAGAGACCAAGAGCGGGGGTGATACATTGGGTACGGAGCGGCGGCCGCATGCTCGGATGACAGGGGTGCTTGCATTGAGACTGGTGATGGAAGATGGACCAGGTACGATGACTTCGCGAGGGGGACTCCGGTACCCTTCTGCGGGGTATGCAATCGGTGAGGTCGAACTACCAACCAGGAATGATGGTGTGCCCTTCATGAGTTATCAATCAAGAGTATATGGTATAAATGGGAAGGAAAATTTGTACCTGAGGCTCGTATATATATCGGACTGATGACCTGCGTGTGACAGGTGTGCTGGCTGGTGGAATGGCCGAATGAAACTGGCACTTCCAAGGAGATCAATGCTGGAAGAATATACCAATAAAACAAATTGATTTACCTCGGATATATCATCCGTGGGTTCGGTCAGCATCCGACTTTTACCTTTGTCTGGCAACACGGGTTGTTGGAGGAAACGGTCACCTTGGTCATTGCTGAGCCGTCGGAGCGCATGCGGACATGATACAGCTACAGTCGAGCCAATGGTGAGGATGTCGAGTGCCCCTAAAGCCTCTTCAGGGTATGGAAAATCTTGGACCCAACTAGCAAGTTCATCGAGTTCCTGAAGCAGTGCGAGCATATCGGGAGGAAAACCGTTATGTGTCGGGGAGGACAAGCAATGACTTTCCAGCGGGCTTTCGATGAGGTAATCAGTCAGGTCGGTTGCCAGAACATGCACGAAGTGGTCATTCTGAGCTGGGACGAGCCTGAACATCCTACCAGAACGTTTGGAAAGAAGGTCAGACATCGGAGAGCTTGATGCAGTAGGTGGGCTGAGTGGGAATGTGGGAGAGCACGGAGGGATGGTGAAGACCAGGGCGTTCTGATCCACGACGCGACGGTTCAGCGGAGCTTTCCACGGATTGAACGGTTTGGTACAGTGATGGATGGCAGCATGCTTGGATTCAAGAAAGAAAGAATTGTTGTCGATATTGAGGCTTCCATGATTAGAATCTGGAACGATCATCGATGAGCTATGCTTGTGACTAAGAATAATTTCTTCTTTAGCGGGTGTATCACGATTCGAAATGTGACAGGCAAGCGCATCAACGAGTGTGTACCCTGGTATGTTGAGCGAGGGTACAGTACGCGGAGTAGCAGGGAGGGCAATGGGGCTGACCCGATACTTGTCATTTCCGCGGTGGTGCCTACGACGTTCCGGGGAGGAAGGACTTTCTGTGACGGAGAAGGAGGTGTCAAAGGGAACACCTTGTTTGATACTATCACGGCTGCCCTCGGTTGTCTGCAGTGCCAGAGTGTTTCGCAAGTCTCGAAGGATGGGTCGAGGTTTCTTCATCGACGCTCTCCCATATGATGATGCTGGAGAATCCGAGCGTTCGACAGTGAAAGACCTCGGGAGGGTGTGGGATGACATGATGAACAACCAGTAAACGCAAACCAATGGTCCAGAAGCTGGTATAAAGAGAAGTGAGTTCGTTTAGTAGCCAGCCGCTCGGTGCGTCCATGACGTTCAGAGAGGCTGACTTGAGACTTGCACCGGGAACCGTCATGAGTTGCTCTGCAATAATGCAATTGCAAGTAAATGCACTGTGCATCGATTGGTACCTAGCTACACACAGTCAGGTCAGCCACAGAGATTCCATAGTAGCTGTGGTCCTCGCTTAACGTCGAGC